GGGCCTGCGGCCGCGCGGCGCCGTGGATGTGTGCAGCGTGGCGGAGCGGTGCCAGCGGGCCCGGGGCGAGCGGGGCGGCAGCGTCCTCCGCGACCTGCTCAAGTCGCTGGAGGTGCTGGAGCTGCTCTGCGTCAACCTGCTCCTCTCGCCGTGGCGGAAGGAGATCAGGTCACTGAAGGTAGGGAAGCGCCGCGGTGCTTGGGCCGGGGGCGCCGCCAGCCCCGGGCAGGGCTCGTCCGGCCTGGGGGCCTGGCGGCCGCGGGGTTTCGAGGCCTCTTCTCGGGCCTGTGGCGCGGGAGGCACGGCAGCGGCGCCCGCTCCCCGGCCACTTAGGAGCCCATTTTGAGCGGGTTAGGGGTGCCCTGAGCGGTGCGAGGTGTTCGTTGGCCTTTGTAGGCCTTGTCCTCGCCGAGGCCGGGCCTTCAGGGCCTTCCCGGGAGTACTGAGTAGTTCAAGGGTTTGGAAACAGACCTTCGGTTACTGTGAGACAGTAGGGAAGTAAAAAGATACAATGAAATGCTTAGACTCTCATTACTCTGAGTTTTAACCTTGATTTGCCTATAAGGAGGGGATACTTTTTAGCATTGTTTGCCACTTTTGCCAAAGGCTAGGTGGGTTAGTATCTCAGTGGGCCAGCGATTATACCACTTGTCCTAGTTCTGGTGACTGCAGCTGGTGAAATGGGTAGGAAACCCCTCTTCAAAAGAGGAAATGCTGTTGCTTTTTGCAGCAAGGTGGTCAAGGTTACCCTGCTTCGCTAGCACACTGAACACATCTCATTGCCCAAAAAGAGACAGCAATCCTCAACCCATGCAAAATCTACTTAAACAAAATCCCTTGACATCCAAGATGGAAACTTATTTCCCTTCCTACAGCAACAGGTGCTGGTGAGGAAAAACCATTTCTTTTCCTTCTTTCTGCCCTTAGGTCTCATCTACAGATTCTCAAAAAGCTGTAGATTCATATTCTCCTCATTCATCTTCCCAAAACAGGGCAGAGCATAAGATAGTCATGTCTACTTTAGTGTTACTTTTTGTAACACAAGAATCCTAGGCTTCATTGAAATCAAACTTTGAGGACCACTGTGGGTGATCCCAAGTGCAAGACAGTGTGCTGAAGGCCTGAAATAATTCTACTGCAAGGCACAAATTGTAGAACAACCAGTATCTTGTGTACACACAGGTTTGATAAAAAGTTACTGGTCATATGTGGAATGCTAGTTCACATTTCCTGCCTCTCACCTGCTCTGATATCACAACCCCCCATACAGCACCCCCACCCCCTGCAGTGCCTGCTCCTTACATCCCTTCTAGAAGGAACAGAACCCTGGGGATTGAAAGGCACTGTTGACAAATTTATCCGAGAATGGACTGAGGCTCAGTCCTACATTATACTACGGCCTTTTTGAGGGTCAGTTGTGTTCTCCCCCAAGCTTATGCTTCTGAGACCAATGCTTAGGTCTCGGCCCTAGGAAGTAGGTAAGTCAGTCTCAAGCTAGGCAGCCTGAAAATAAGGTACCCCAATTCTGGAAGTCTTGGCTTTGAAGTCCTACCTCCATTCTGTTCTGACATGCCTGGAGTTGGTCATGCTTAGGTCAACGCAGTCTCTCTTATCGTAGCGTTCAGACAAAACCAAAACCCACTTCCAGTTGACAAACTAGGCCTCACACCTGGGGTAGCTCCAAAACCGAGCAAATGTTGAACGATGTTTTAAGTTGTTGAACAGCAGCAGCATTTTATTCAAGTCATGTTTTGCCGACAGCTTGTGCAAAAAGAGCGTGGTTTTGCAATATTTCTGCTAGAATAGTCTCCCTTCAAAAAGATGCTTTCAGAGAAATGGCAACTTAATTTGAGGACAGTAAAGTTACAGCGGGAGTCTGAAACATGGAAAAAGAAAATGTTACAGTCTTGTCACCAATTACGAAATACAATTAACAGTGAGTGCATCATGTCTGTTTCTTTAGGAAAAGATTAGACCTCAGTGATTTATTCTATGAATCTTCATTTGTTTAAAAATCTTCTGTTCTTCAGTAGAGCATATAAGACTTATTTCTGAGTTTCTCTAATTTGACTAAAATGGTTTTCTTACTCTTTTCCTTTTTGAATATTGATGCTCTTAGCCAGTATCTCAGCAGGTTTAAATTGGCATAACTTCACTGAAATTAATGTGGTGTAGCAAAGCTGTAATGCTTGAGAGGCTGACAAACTAATGCTGTTAGAAAAGCCTCATTCACTTCGATTCAAAATTCAGACTTTTAAGAACATAGTTTTTTAAAAGATTTAAGTAATTTTTGAAGTACTTTTGGTTTTTAGGAAGTCTTTCACGCTTCCCTCCACCCCACCCCCCTCCGTGTTCATCTGTTTTTCAATGTTGCATTCTGTTTCAGACATTCACCGGTAATTTTGTCTACTATATTCAATCTGTGCTCCCAGATGACATTGTAAAAACAGTACTGGAGAAAATAGGTTACGTTGCAACAACAGCAACAGAGTTTTCACTTGTCAAAAAAAGAAACAATGAGGAAACAAAGCAGACTGCATTTGAAATATTCCTGGCAAGAATTGAGTGTGAAACCATCCTCGAAATGACAAATGAAGAAAAACATGGCAATTTGGAGAAGACTTTACAGAAGAGAACAAAAATGCACCAGCATCATGGAGATAAGGACAAAGATGAGACACCCCAGAGAGAAGACGCTGAAAATCCAGAAAATAAAGAAAACAGTGAGACATCTTTGTGCCTTGCTACTCAACAGAAGTCTTCAGCTAATAGTGATATATCCTTTGAAGCTGCTGGGAATGTGAAGATCAAAGACAAAGTGCCTCAGTTAGCAGGTACTCAATCCACTAACAGGCTTCAGGAACACCAAAGGCAAGTCATTAACACCGTACATTTTCCGGGCAAATGCTCAGACAGTGAGGACTTCTTGATCAAATATAGTGACATTGTCATAAGACAAACACCTATTTTCAGTGAGAATCTTTCTCCAAAAGCTTTTGAAAAAAAGCCAAGAGCCAGGCTAAGTGAAGAATGTGTTTTGGCAGTCACTGCAGAGTCAACTGCAAATGAGATCAGGCCTGTGCCACTCTCACCAGGAGCAAGCGGTCCGCCAGCCTTTGCAATATTTGCTGACAGCTCTTGTGACAGCAAAAACACTTTGGAGGAGTACAAAGCTCAAGAAGTGCCCGAAGAATCAATTGAAGCAGAAATTAATGATGCTATAAATTGCATAGACCCAGACCCTGCAGATGAACCCAATGAGCTGAAATCTCTGTCGTACAAGGACATTGCATCTGTCCAAAGCTGCAGTGTCCCTAGGGAAGAGGATGTTTGTGAGCTGTCTTTAACCTTCACAAAATTACAAATCAAGGACACTCAGGAAGACCTTATGTATCCAGTAGAGGAAACTGGCCAACCTGAGTCAGTATCATATGCGAGTACAAGTGACAGACACGTAAGAGAATTTAATCATTCCAAAATAAAACATACATATCTGACTAATGCTGAGATGCAGAACAGAGCAGCTGCCCGTATTGAGCCATCTTCAGATCTGTGCGGTACTACTGGGAACATGGAGGATCCCACGGCTGGTTCGGGTAGCAAGAGACTATTAATGGATACTTCTAGTGCACATACAGCTGCCGAGTGCTTCAGACACATTAGAGAGCCTCCTAACCTCACCTACATTCCACCACAAAGTATTGATGTTCAGTCTTCACGCTTAAGAAGTACCAGCGCACAGGGCAGAAGGAACCTCTTGCAGCCTGAATGTGACTCTCTCAAATCCAGTGACATGAAGCTGGAGAACTATAATTCAAAAGTAAATGAAATCCAGGAGCCTTATGTCATTATTGATAAAACTGACCAAGGAATGTTATGCCATCACACTTGATTCTACCAGTGCTTTATTTGCAATCTGCCTGGATTTTTTTTCCCCTCACTTGTGGCCTTGATCATCTTTTCAAGGAGATGATTAGCTTTGTCAAAACACTTTAAGGAAAAAAAAAATACACCCCTTTTGGACAGTAAAAAAGGGAAGTAACTGAGCAAAATCTTAATGGCTCCTTCTCATCTGGAACTTTTGGCAGTCAAACCTGAATGGCCACCTTTCTAAAGCATAAGCAACTTACATAAATTTAAATCCATTTAATTCATTAGCCAGATTCCTTCTGTCTGTACTTAATGCCAGACAGGTTTCTTCAGTTAAGCATACTTCTACTTTCTACCTTTTTTGTTTGGTTGGTTTTTGTTTGGGTTTTTTTTGCTGACAGGAGTATTCTTGGAGTATAGCACACTGTACAGTAACAGAAACAAGTAAATGTTTCTAAGCTGGGAGGCCCAACTTTATAGCTTTACAAATGCTATACTGCAGTGTACTTCTGTTAACTCATTACATTCCTATGTAATTAGCTCAGAGCTAATCTTGCTCTTGTTTTCAGTTGAAAATAAGTTTAGAAAGTTTGATAACATTCCTTTAAGTTTAAAGAAGGAAACAACCCCGTGAACACTTTTTGTTTTATTTTTGCATTAGGAGTAACAGTTTAGATCTTACAGAGGCAATAACCTGAACAGGTTTTATACCTGTCTCCACTTGTTACCAAAATTTCTTGTGGCTACCACCACAAACTTCAAGAGAAGCACCGAGCATTGCAGTCGTTCACTGCTATCAGAAGAGGGAGATCCAGCTACTGCTGCAGTTTCCTTCGCCCCTGTTCCTGCCACTTAACTGCACCAGCTCTGGCGTTCACTGGACTTTTCTGTAAGCCAGTTCATCTCACTAAAATGAAGGGGGAAAAAACCCCCTGCCGTTCTCTGCCATTTTAGTGGCAGGAAAAAATCAGTTCAGCGAAGGGTCCCAGTGAGCATTAGAAGGAGGATAAGGGGTAGCCTATAGGTGGGAGTGCTGTGTGAAAATGAAAAGCATTGTGCTGAGAAGGAGAGGGAGCAGTATCGTTAGATCAGCTGTAAACTAGAGTCCCAGCATTGAGAACTTCTGTCATACACAACAATTAATTTAATTTAGAAAAGCACACAGTCACTGTTACTGTATTTCAGCACAATCTTCAATGCTTCTTCATACACTTCTTACCAAGAAAGACAGTTTAATGCTGCTTCAGGTAACTTTTCCAGTAGCACTTCAATGCTAAGAATGTTTTGCTGTTTCATGTATAGGTAAAATATTAGCTGAAATTAATTTAGTATAAATTGTTTACAATTTATCCCCAAAAATTCAAAGAGGAACAAATAGATTACACTAGAAAAACATCAGCAGCGAAGACGTAAAGATCTGCTTTTTTGAACGACTAATTGTTGAAGTTGTGTCATCACCTGATTCCCACAGTGTAGGAGGAATAAAACTTGGACAAAGCCAACATCAGGTGACAGGACTGCCTGCAGCTTGGGAGAAACTGCATGCACAAATTAATACTTCTGTACTGGGTCTGGCTAGGATTGAGGTAACTTTCTTAGTAGCTGCCCCTCGGGTGGTGTGTTTGGGATTTGCAGCTAGACTTGTTGGTAATACACCAGTGTTTTGGCTATCGCTGGGCAGTGCTTGCACATTTTTCACTTTTTCTAACTATACCCCCCACCCCCAATGAGTAGCTGGGAGAGGACACAGCTGGGACAGCTGACCTGAACTGGCCAAAGAGATATACCATACCATATAACATCATGCTCAACAATAAAACTGGGGTAGCAGAAGGTGGGGGGCTTTTTCTACCCAGGTGGCCACTGCTCAGAGACTGGCTGGGTATGGGTCTGCTTCTGGGAGGTGGTGAGTTACTGCCGTTGCATCACATGTTTTTTTTCCTCCCCTCTTTCCTTCACTTTTATGTCAACCCAAAAGTTCCGTTGATTTTGCTCTTCATGTTGTCCCCTATCCTGCTGGGGAAGGGGGGAGCAAGCAGCTGTGCAGGTGCTTAGCTGCTGGCTGGGTCAACCCACCACAACCTCCTTGCTCTTCTTTCAAGTACCTATCTGTTCTTCCTAACCATTTTGGTTTTTATAAGCTATATTTTCCCCCTGTGGGGGTTATTAAAATTATGTGGTTTAAATCTCATATTGTGTCAATTATTCAGGAACTCTTATTTAAAACTACAAAAAACTCTTATCACAAGTGAAGATGACTCCTAAGTATTCAGATGACCAGAAGTACTACAGGATTCATATACCTAACATCCCATTTTTATCCTTACTGTAGCCATGCAAGGAAAAGTAACAGAACTTACACATGAAAAACCAATGCAAAAGAAAACTAAAGACTACCGCTTGAAAAGACACCATATTGGGCATCTAACTGTATTAATACCATACTGCTGGCCTTCATTAAACTTGTTAACATCTACTGTGAGAAACACTCTTAAGTCCTTAAAACTTCCCCTGATGGGCCTGTGTGCAATGGCTTCTGTCTTTATGGTACCTGGCTTAGAGGAGACCTAGATTGTCACTTTCCTCCTGTTTGAGCAGAGGTTTGGACCAGCATCTTTCATGTCCAGGAGCTTATGAACAACCTCACATGGGGAACACAAAAACAAAATATAGAGAGGGTCTTTCAGAAGAGAGGAAGCATGGCCCTAAACTTTGCTAACAGTGCACCACGGTTCACCACAGGAATACTGGTGAAGATAGTAATGATGAACAGTGCCCACCAAATAAAACGGTTGAACTGCACAAAATTTATTAAATATAAAATGGCCATATTCTATGGCCATGAGAATCTACTTTTTGCTAATGTTCGAGTATCCGGATTGAGGAAGAATTTCTTCTTTATGGCAGATTGGCCAGGACTAGTAAGTGTTCTGTCTGCCTTTGTACGAGAGCTACTACCCATGTAAAGTCTTCTGGATATTTTCATTTGAGTTTGCTGTTGCTGCAAGAACACCTTTAACTTCTTTTCCTGTACAAATGGTAGGGTTTTGAGGTCTTGTACTAGAAACTACTTTTGTATTTGCAAATTTACAGGGTCTCAAGAGACAACTGCTTTACAGTTAAAGATGCTTGTAAATAGACAGGATTTGAAAAGCAGCTGAAATAAAAGTCATATTTAACAGGCTGTAAGCGGCAGTCCTTTGTGCAACTGCTTCCAAATGAATAAGGTGGAATTGGGTTTAAAATCCTAGTTGTAAATGCAGTCAATCCCAAGAAGAGTGACAGACAAAAGGGACCACAAGATTTCTGACCCCATCTGCCAGTGCCCTCCTGTTGGTAGTAACCACTGCACCTCTCCTTGGCTAATTAACTTAAGTAAGAACAACCATTCAAGCAGCGCAGCTAGCCAGCAAGAGGGCTGCCTGGGCCCCTTTAGAAAGGAAGGTGGTTTGTGTTTGTAAAATGTGTGCATGTCCTCTGGTAAGCTGTCAGCTTTCATTGTGCTGCCGCTGGTCCTGATCTTCTGTGAATTGAATGGGGATTTACAGACTGATTGGATGTTTTTCCGTCACAGAGACACAAGTCCAATTCTGTTCCCAAATTTATATTCTACACACAAACACTTTGAATGGCTCAGCCCCCCCAAGCCTTGCATTAGAGAAATTCTCTCTTGAGCAGTGCAGACAGTGCTCAGGCAGCAGACCTGGTACCTGCATGATACTCACTCGCACCACCTCTCCCTGCTGGGTCTCTTGCAATAGTCATTTTCCCCCTTAACATTTGTATCGCACAGACACTCTTGCCCTGTCTGGAGTTAAGGTGCTCAAGAGGCATAGCTTGGTTGTAGAACAAACTTGGTTTTGAAGCCAGGAATGAAAACCAAAGTTCAGTGTTAGACAAAAAAAAAAACCCACCCACCACAAAAACCACCCAGCTGGAAAGCATGCAAACACTAAATGAATTTAAAAAAATTACACTTCAGAATTACAAACAATGGTCTTAAAAACAACCATTCCCTGAGACACGAACAAAGCATACCTGGGAAGGGCTGGCAAGGGCTTGCAAAGCACTGATGAAGATGATCATTGTTGAGAGCTGTCTCACCAAAGACAATTTCTGAAACACAGCTTTAACATTTTTTACCTTACTTGTACCTAAACACTGGGAGAATAACCACCAGTAACTCACCACCACAGCTAAAGGGCCCACCCCGTTGGAAATTAACTGGCACAGCTCTCTAAATGAGGGAGCCAATTAAATCCTACAAGGCTCTTTTTCACAGCATTAAATAGTAAAAAACTGAAATTAGGATTGGGATGGAATACAGTGACATCTGCAGAGCAGCATACTCACAGTGGAAGTCCTAACAGCTCAGTACTTCTGCGGTGTATGCGCGGGAGGAATGTATCACTGTTACCAGGCTCTAGGGTGGAGCAGAGGATTCAACCCAAAGCCTTCTGGCATAAAAATAAAGTCAAGTAGTATGTATGCAATAGTCAGGTAACAAACAGAGCTCCTCTATTCTGTCACTCCTTATCCAACCTCTGTCTGTGTTCAGGCAGAGATCACTCTGTAGGTGCGTGTTTACACAACACTTAGCAAAATGGTGCCCTGATCCTGATACAGCACAAATAATTATCACACGCCAGCCTCTTAAAAAAGGATAAACAATCAATTAGAAAATTGATCTGGACTAGACAGAAGACTACGTTTCTCTTATGTAGGAATTAATCTACCAACTGCTGGGGTTTGTTCTGAAACTAAACTTTTCAAAAAAAGCTCACAACTTTCTGTCAGCGCCCTCAAATGCTGGCAGGAGGGAAAACCACCACCATAATTCTCACCTGACTTTATCCTGCTTTAGAAATGCACAATGTTTACTTAAAACTCCATACACTACAGGAAGGAGTGGATTCTCCAAGTCATGAACCAGGACAGTAACTTGGTAGGAGAGCCATTATTCAGAAGAGGGACAAGAGAGCTTCGGGTCTGAATTTTAATAGCAACTGATGGCAGAATACC